TTGATACAGACTGCAGCATCTCTTCTGCAGTTCCCTCTCTATCTCACGGGCACATGTAGGATCCATTAGTGTAACACACAGGTATACATACATGCACACACACCCTGAAAGATCTGGCCATGCACTCTATATATAAATACATTCTCTCTCATAAATACAAACGTACACTTTTGTTTTCTCACACACCATACTCTGGGAGAATTTTATATAGCTCCACTATTGGTCCAGCCTCTCAAGATGTGAATGGACTGTTATAGCAATATACTCCTGATCTTCTCTCTCGTCTCTATTTATCTCTTACTTTCTCTATGCATTTCTCACTCTGTTTCCTTGTCTCAGTCTGTCTATTTCCCTCCCATTACCTATTATCCTGCTCTCTCCAAACTAATCTCCAACAGTCTCCCTCTCTGTTTTCCAAATCCCATTCCTACATCCCTCTTGTCCTGGCTTTCATTTTAACCCAGGTGCTCCTCAACTCAGGAACTCTTTCCTACCTTTTAAAAGTTGCTTTCATTAAGCCTGACCCACCTTTGCCCCTCTGTCCTTGCTGACAAACACCTTACCTTCCATCCCTACTCTCGTAAGCAAATTCTGAAAACAAGCTTTGACTTTCCACATCCATCTTTCCCACAACCTACTTTCTGAAGCTGTTGAGTCTGGTTTCCACTCCTTCCAAAGCAATGAAAAGGTTTGAATCAATGGCAGACTCCTCCAAAGTGTGACTTGTCCCTAAGTCATGTCACAGAAGCATTAAGCCCAGTGGGACTGTTTGTGTTTTCACTGCACAAGAGCCTACTCCCATCACTTTGCATCCAACCCCATCAACAGAAACAAATTTGTGCTGATTTCAAAGTATGAAGAATGTACATTTCAATCTGCATTTGCTAAGAATAAAATGGTTTGGTTTCATATAGTGTGAGTGAATGGGATCAGCCTTTCTCCAAAACAGAGTTCAAATGTGGTGGCATTCTTCAAAAGCTTGAAGGTGGTATTTATTTGTTGAAATCAAGATTGACTGGGATACAGTGCAAGTCTCATGGTGTGAGAAGCCACAATAGAAGCTGCTCCTTTGCTGACGTTAAATTAGCCTACTCTCTTTGGCAGGTAGATGTTGTGCTGTCCCTGTGCAAAACCTTGAGGCTATATACCAATGCAATAAGATGATGCCTTTTTATTCTCCTCTTCTTAATGAGATGCAGCTTGAGGATCATTTAAAAGTTCTCAAACTTTTCATGTGAAGTTTTGATCTACAGTAGATGTATTCGGATAATTATTTAGAGTTCTGTAAAAATCAGCTTTCTGTTTTTCACAGATGACACAACAGGAATACATTCCATATACACAGTATATCAAGGACATGAGATAATGTTTCACGTCTCCACAATGTTGCCGTACTCTAAAGAAAATAAGCAGCAGGTAAGGGGAGTTCTTTCTTTGTTATGACTAAGCATATTACTGCTGGAATCATTCATGTTACATAGATCTTTATATTAGTCTCACTGGGCTAGTCACACAGGTAAATAATTATGATTATGTCAGAGAGGAGGAGATTGGAAGCAGGCTTTAGATGTGAAGGATCCAAAACGTCTGCTGTGTTAATCATTCCAGCAAGCTGCTGTATTACACTGTCCAGCAGGGCTGCTGCGTAACCCTGTCCAGCAGGGCCGCTGCATAACCCTGTCCAGCAGGGCAGCTGCGTAACCCTGTCCAGCAGGGCTGCTGTATTACACTGTCCAGCAGGGCTGCTGCGTAACCCTGTCCAGCAGGGCCGCTGCGTTACACTGTCCAGCAGGGCCGCTGCGTGACGCTGTCCAGCAGGACCGCTGCGTGACACTGTCCAGCAGGGCCGCTGCGTGACACTGTCCAGCAGAGCCGCTGCGTGACACTGTCCAGCAGGGCCGCTGCGTGACACTGTCCAGCAGGGCTGCTGTGTTAGGATCTGCAGTGATGGGGACACGTTGATATCCAAAGGAACCGAGGTGTCCCTGGTTATCAGTCACTGAAAGCCAACTTGCAGCTCAGTAAGCAATTTCGAAGGCAAATTGTATGTCGACCTTTACAGCAAGGAGATCTGATTACATCAGGAGGCTGCCCTTGGACCATCATGTACAATTTTTTTCATTTACCTAAAGACACTTGCCTTGGAGGGAGCACAGCAGAGATGCACCGGACAGTTTGATGGGATGGTGGGATTGACGATGGAGAGGGGTTGAGGAGACTGGGCCTATATTCTCTGGAGTTTAGGAGGAGGAGATGTAATCTCACTGAAACATAAAATTCTTACAGGGGTCAACTGCACAGATGAATGTAGGAAGGATGTTTTTCCCAGTGGTGGATTTGGAGAAGGGGCACATCTTTGCTGTCTCAGAATAAAGGGGAGGGTATTTGCACTGAGGTGAGGAGGACATTATTCTGTCAGTGAATAATTATCTGGAATTCGCCACCCCCAGAGAGCTATGGAGTCTCAGTCATTGAGTGTATTCAAGACAGAGATTAATAGATTTCTGGATATGAAAGATATCAAGAGATATGGGAATAGCACTGGAAAATTGCATTGAGGTAGATGATTAGCTGAAATCTAGTCGGCATCTTTAAAGGAAAGAGACTGTAGGATTAAAATGCTTAAAAATGCTGTCATGCAGTTTCTTTAAGAAACACAAACAGGTTTCCTGGCCCTTATAAGTAGGTGCATAAGTTACAAAAGTAAGGATTTTGTGCTAAATCTTTATCAAGTACTGGGTAGGTGTTAGCTGGAGTAATATCTTCAGTTCATGACACATTATTTTAGAAAGGATCTTTAAGACATTGCCAAAGAGATTTACTATAATTTGGGAACATAATAGTAAAAGAATATAGAGCTTCATATCAGACTCGGGAGTATAGAAGGTGGGATTGCTGGCCTTCCAGCAGAGGAAGGCAAGGTGAAATCTAGTTGAATCAGAGATAGCCAGAGATACCATCTCTAACACCTCTCTCCCCTTCCTGGACCTCTCTGTCTCCATATCGGGCAACCACCTAGAAACCGATATTCATTTCAAGCCCACCGACTCCCACAGCTACCTAGAATACTCCTCCTCCCACCCACCTTCCTGCAAAAATGCTATCCCCTATTCCCAATTCCTTCGCCTCCGCCGCATCTGCTCCCAGGATGAGGCATTCCACTCCCGTACATCTCAGTTGTCCTCGTTTTTCAAGGACCGTAACTTCCCC